AACAAGAGAAACGTCATTGTACATACTAGTGAGAAAAAAATTTCTTTCAACAGCTGCGAGAAAATAGATTGAAGGAGACCAGGAGGCACAGAGCCGTCAAGCAAATATCACTGAGAAAACGTCGACGCCATGGCTTCCGCCGAGACGAACGCACTCCTCAGGCTTAAAGCGTGCTTTCAAGCTTTTTAGAAAATGAGCTTGAAAGCGTTGCAATTCAACGCAGAGATGTCACGAAAACGGCAACCTTTTATTTAAAAATTTAAGAATTGTGAATCGTCACAGATACAGACTGGCATAGAGCCCTTCCGTACGGTTGCTTAAGGCGTCGTGTGCTCGAATCCTCGCGACTATATCACAGGAGCGTCTGCAACGTGCACTATGCTGAAACCATGAACCTATGTTTTACGGACACTGTACCACCGTGTAAACCTTGGTGCCAACGTAACTTTCTGCTTACTTTGCAGACATGACATTGTCAACCAGCCGCTTCCTCCAAGGTGTTACGATGATGAGTTTCGAAGACTAGGTCGCCAGGTCACAGTCAATTCATGTGGGCTCTTCGTCGTTCCGGAAACCCAATGGCTTGGGACGTAATCGAACAGGGTTGTGCACGACCCTGCCGGGGACCCCCTCATGGGATTGTGGAGTTTAAGTGTCCCTCTTCCCTTTTAACAAAACTGTTGAAGAACTCACGCACGCGGACTTACGCTCCGAAGTAAGTGAACATTGCTTAAAGCCGAACAAATATTGCACAAAGCTGAATGACAGTCACCCTTATTATTACAAGGTTCTCGGACAAATGGCGCTTTCTGGGCTGCAGTGGGCAGACAGCTTTGCTTACGGAAAGTGTTTCATCCTAATTGGAAGGGTAAGATCCAATGCCGAAGTATGGCAGAGTGTAAGCGAAAAGCTGGAAGACTTATACTTCAATGAAATGCTGCCACACTTGGAGTGCAGCCGGTAGTTGCCTCACTTTTAATTTAGATGGGTTGAGCTCACTCCAAACCAGAAAAAAAAAATCTGAAAAAAGTTACTATAAAATAGCATCCGCGTATTCAACACTAAGCGCCCAACCCTAAATGTAACGTCGAAAAGATATTCGTAGTATGAATAGAGATAAAATACGTGACCTGACAAGCTTCCATCCCCACTTTCTTGCGATTGTCTCCGAATTTCGAATAGGCGCTTGATCGATACTTGAGATGGGCAAAGAATGGTACAGCTTACGCAACTGTGCAAGTGGTCTGAAAAATCTCCTCGACACATAGCGAATTACAACTATTTGTAGACATAATGTACCACAATGATTTTTGTTATTGTTGTTGTTCTTTTTTTTTTGGGGGGGGGGGGGGAGGGGGGTGTAATTTGTTTTCTTTTTGTGTTGTATCATTTCTTTGTGTTGAATCTATTTTTGATGTAAAAGTTTTTTGAAACATACTAGTGTCTCTGGTTTCCTACCAATGCTCACTCCTCCTTGGATAAACCCCACTCTGACGAAAACAGTTTCGAGGTTGTGGAAACCGATGCTACAGGGGCCAAACCCGCCTCAATTACTTTTAGACACTAACTTGTTACTTACGGAGCATCAGCAGCACCACCCGTGTCTGTAATTTGTCTGTAATTTGTAAAAGCCGAAAATTATTTACCTTTTTAATTTCAACAAAATTAAGTCGGAAACAAATGTTTGATCTTGGTTGAAAGACTGTGTTATGGTGTCTTTGTAAACAGCAGCAGAAATCACAAAGTTATGACTAGAAATCGGCCTCAGCAGCAGAAACACAGACCGCGTTGAGACGCGCGCGAGGACACGGTTTTTTGGAACACTTTGAAGCTTGCTTGATACGTACCTTTTTTCCGTATTCGTCAATGTATCCATCCTGCGTACACAAACCTACGCATCAGTGGGATGGCATATTGATGCAGCGCGCATACTGGGACTCGGCGTGTAAGCAGCACCACTGTAGGCAGTAAGATGCAGGTGGTTCTAGCAGGACCCCAGCGTGATGGCGACAGACCTAGTTGCTGTTGAGTGCAACAGGTGGCGCTTGCCTTCGAAAGGGGTCTACAGAACGCTCTCCTTCGGAGCAGGGTAAGGCAATCCTTGAATCCGCGTGTTTTGCCGAGAGCATGGTCGACAGAGCAGCTCGGCACGAGTCACGTGATACTCACGGTTCCAAGCGGCGCCCGCCCTATGGGAGAACACAAGAAGATTGACGCAACACGGCTGATTAAGAAATTAACGCCGAGTTCACACTTTTCGAAACTAGTCTGTCGTGATGTTGGTAAAGCACTAAACACTTTATCAAACTTTTCATAATATTGAATGCGTGTGAAACTTTTTAACAAGCAATTTCCAAAGCAACGGCGTTCAAATCAAACGATTTGTTTACGCAGCGGAGAAGCGTGAGAGACCGTCGATGCGCATCGAGCAGCATCGAGATCAGAGAATCGAGTCTAGAAAACTTGTTGGCTAAGAAGGGATTCACAACTTGGGTCTATTTTGCATAGCGCAGCTTCCCAAACATAACAGGTTGCTGTGCCTTTGGGTGCAGCAACCCAGCTGAAAAAGGTAAACAGCTTTCAGAATCCAACAAGGAAAAGCAAATCGCAAGCGTCGTAGAAGTTTGCTCAACCAGATCCACCGCGACGGCTTCGTTCCTACAGGATCATCGAGGTTGTGTAAGGTAGGGCGATGCCAGTCAATTGTACACTTTCAAGCCGGGTTGCAGACTTTGATACCTTCGCGCAAACGTAGTTTGGTTAATTAAAAATAATATTTATAATATTTGGTGACCGAGCAGGAGCAGCGGGAGCTAGAGAGGCATGAGATGCCGGAGCGGCCGGTGAACATGTGTTGCTGCTTCTTTTCTATCTGCATCCCAGCGATCGTCCTCCACTGCGCCGCGTAGTAGATAATTAAAAGAAAAATTGTGTTGTTACGTGGTACACAACTTAGCGCAATGTATTGTAAAGTGTTCCTTTATTATGTCAAAAGCTATTCTTGTTCCGTACATCCCCAAAATATTGAAGGAAAAACCACTTTCTCACGTTCTCCTTGCATTTGTGATTAGGGTTGGAACTTCCGGGCGTTCGCAGCTAGTCGACGAGAGAGGGCGTTCTAGATTGCGCTACTCTAAAGTCCCTTGATAAAACTCAGGCTTAGAAGTACCGACAACTAGGGTGCCTTCATGTGCGCTTTGCTTGGGGTGATGACATCTGGCCATTTTGTTTCGAACGCTTATTTTTATTTTTTGTTCTGAAGCGCGTGAAAGAGCGTGTCCCTGCACGCGCTCGTGGCGCTGACTGTGTTACGGCGACATTTTGTTTCCTGCGATTTCTTTGTATTTTCCCTGTGAGCGCGTGCTGTCGGCATCGGGTACTACAAACGATGGCATCACCCTAAAGAGAAGGGCATTGAGGCACGCTACCGACAACCATTGATGTGGAAACGCGCAAGACACGTGCCAGGAGCGGGTGCTGCGCCGCCGTTCGCTTCCAAGGGCTGCTCATTTCAGTGCTGCGCCGCCATTTGCTAACAAGGGCCATTAGACACGGGCCTCGTGCACTGGCTGATTTGACGCTACTTGAAAGGCAGGCGCAAGCACATCAAGGGACTTTACGCTGCTCTGCTCCGAAGGAGCTATATTAGCGGCAAGATGTTTCGGTGGCGCCCTCGTTCGGTTACCTTTCGTGACGTAATTACCTTGTGAACAACAAGTTCGATGGTGTTTGTAACGAGAACGGTGGAAGCCTGAAACCATAGCGCTCTCAAAGCAACACTGCCAACACCGTCAAAAATGAAGTTCTTGCATTTCTCTTATTTCTGTCGATGAGACATCCTTTTCTGACGTCATAGCCAGCATTCGGCCAATTGTGGTGGGCCGATCACAGCGACGCTTTCGATCGCTCACGGCGCCAATAGTAGTGTAGCCTGGCAGCCACATACTGGGCGCGGTCACTGGAAAGGAAAGACGTACGCTTTTTATAACACCAGCCAATTGTAGCCAAAACAGTGAAATAAATATATCCTGTACCATCCCAAATTAACTTGTACATCACAACAAGGAACCTTAAATACTCATCAAGGGAGCTGGTGCATGCAGTACTATCCACTCAACTAAAATGCACTAGTGGAAACTTTTATGGGGCAAAGTATTGCGCTTGGTCTTTATAAAACAGTGGTACATCCGGATGCCGGGGGCTTTAAAACAAAATATTAGTTTAAGTTGAAAGTCAAAATACTGACTTCGCCTAAGTACCCCCCCCCCCCCAAAAAAAAAAAGAAAAAAGCATTATCCTCAATTCGTAAAGGCGCCACGAAGGGCACATGCCCCCCCCCCCCCCCCCCCCTTTCCCTTAAAAAAAAATAAGAATAAAAAGAACATTAACATTGCCGGAATTAATCTCTCTGGCCAGATGTTCCGGTACCCGATATATTTCGAAGGACTGTATAAACTTACTTGTGTATTTTAATGGAGTACAGCCTTGAGTTCATATTGTACTGAGTACGAAGAAATCGCACAGAGTCAACAATGCCCCAGACAGTGCAAGAAGAAAACAATAAATGTATATAGAGAAGGAAACCAGCGAAGCAGTGTGCGGTGCTTTACTCTATAGTTTTATGCAGATCAACATGAGACGGCGCCTTACATAAAAGTATGCGTCGAAAACGGATCTTCGTATAAAGTGAAGTGCATGTCAAACATTCAGTTCATCTTTGGCTACGTCTGGCAGATGTATCCGGCCTAAAACCGAGGGCTGAGAGCTCTTAATTAGACTACCATATAGTCTGTTGCAGGTTAAAGAAATCACTCAATATTGGCCGTCACGCAAATGGAGGAATGCCGCAGGCCTTGTCCTCGCGTGGTATAGTGATCCGAAATTTAATACACCAGTTTGTAAAGATTTCTTTATTTATTATTTAGGTGCCCAGTCTCCCGTCATTGCAGCAAATATACTTCAAAGGGCGCACTGACGAGGACGAGCAATTTTAGTGGCGTTCATATCTTCACTTGCACGTTCATTTCAATGCATTCCACAGCAGTACCGCCGTTGATTATCTCCATTTTGACGTGGAGGTCGCCATCCTGAAGAAAATAAAAATCAACAGCAGATGTATTTTAATATATGAACATGTTTTACCAAGCAAGCATAGCCTTATGCTACACTATATTTTAGTAGTGTCCTTATATCCATACACTACCCAAAATACATGTGCCTTTTCCCAGGTATTACCATGAAGATTACCCTGGGGCAAACCTTTACTTTTCTAGGATCCGTCGTCGATGATGGCATATATCTTGCATACCTCACCAGTGAAATGAAGTACTATTACAAATTGATTTTTCAAATTAGATGAAGTATTTTGCCTAGCGTTCAAGAACGCTTAAAGTTCTTCACCACTTGGAAATCTGAATTAAGAATAAATCTCTGATTGGCCTTCCTAATGCGTTGTAGGACTGCATAATTTACGTGGGTATACCAGAAAATCAAGAAGATAAAAAATGTAACTAGAAAAAAAGTGAAAAAAAGAAAAGAACATCAAAACTAACAAGAAAGGTACTGGCCATGAAAGATGGATACACAAGTGGTTTCTTCAAATGTGTTCAGATGTGAAACAACAGTTCTCTCCCTCTAAATCTCGGCGATCAGCAAAGCTGGCATGTAGTTTTCTATGGGCTGCGTTGTACTCAGGCGACAAAAATTGAATAGGGAGGACCTTATAGGCTGAGACAGCGTAAAGAAATCAACTTAGTTGCGGAACTGCCCATAGACGCTGCTTTCCCGAGCAATATGCCCTCTCTCTCCCAAATCTAGATCAACTCACTTGCGGCACTGCCCATAGACAGTTCGGACGAGCAGCACGCCCACTCTCTCCCCAACGTCCGCCTCCTGTCAGTCCACGCGCCACCGTTTTTTTTTGGGACGGCTGCTGTGGTAACTACAGTGTATTGAATGGAATACGCAGGTTCTTGAAACACTGCTTCTAGATGGCGCTTAACCGTACATTATGAAATACACAGTTTTGAATTGCAGCCTCTAGATGCCGCTTCACGCGATGGGTGGCGGACTCGCTGTATTGATAATATAGCGACTCTTCATCACTATATGTATTTTTATACATTATACACCACTGTTGGTGATAACAAAGCGTATGAAAAATTACTTTGATTTTGATTAGCTCCTTTTTTATTTATGTAAAACCTGTCATACGTAAGCGGCAGGAAGAAAAGGATCCACAACGCTCCGACTCGCTCAGAGGAGCACTGCTTTTCGATCTTGCTTAACCTCATACAAATCTTCCTTGCTCGATGATATTATGACGAAACAAATGCACATAAGAGCACCAAATGATAGTCAAGCGGTAAATACATTTTTTCGGTATTATATTTGCGAGAAACATTTGATTGAAATCATCATAGTGAAATGTATCTGATTTAATTCATGATATAAATTAAAATTTCAATCCCGATTTCAGTATTTTGATTTTTATTCTCTACCCTGATCATCGCGAAGCGAGACACATTACATTCTGTGTTACTTCTCTCGAAGTTTATTGCGGTTATTTGTTATTGTGGGATACCGTTTGACCACGCAAAAGTAAAGAGACTCACGCCTATAAAAAATACGGCAAGATACGGTATGTCAAGAGAAACGCTGGTGTCGTAGCTCCCGGCTGGGATTGGACACGTGTTGTTCCAGGGCTCTCCTATCTTCCTTTCTGTATCCGAAGTGCCACCGCAAAGGTCGTACTGGCTGTAGGAGGACGAAGAACATTTTAATATAAGCGAGTCACGCTATGACGGCAAGTCATAAAAAAATGTCCCCCCTAAAAAGAGCGAAGAAAAAAGTGCAGTGATTTTATTTTACTGGAAAAGACAACTACGCATCGGGTACTTCCTAAATGATTTTATAAAATTTTCAATGGGAATATGGCGTCCGACAGAGCTTTCGAATACATGTAGCTTTTTGGCGCCAGTTCCCGAAAACGGCCGAAAATTAGCCCTATTTTCCCATTGAAATTTTCAAGAAATCACTCACAACTTTTAAGTAAGATGACAATTAGTGCTCAAACTTTGGCATCTGGTTCAAAACGCTTGCGCTGCATCCGGGCGGAGAATTTGCGTTCACCAATACATACATTTTTTTTCCGGTAAAAAAAGAAATAAAAAAGAAATACAACTCCCTGTAATGCGGAATTAGATCGCAGCTCTTGAGGAGGAGGAGGGGAAGTTACGGAGGGGACGGTATGCTCCTCCTCCTCATCCGTGCCTTCTCCTCATCTACCCGTCCCGTGCTCCTCGCCTCCTCCCTCTCTTCTTCCTCCTCATCTCCTCGTCCCTCTTCCTTACCCCTTTCTCCTCGCCTCCTCCCTCTCTTCTTCCTCCTCATCTCCTCGTCCCTCTTCCTTACCCCTTTCTCCTCTTCCCTCGTCTTCTCCCTCCTCCTCCTCTCATTCTTCTCCCCCTTATCCTTCTCCCCTCCTTCCTCCTCCTCCCTCCCGCGCGGTGCGTCATGGGAATCTTGCCATAATGCACCGCGCGGTTACGCCGACGGCCACGCCGACGCCGCTGAAGGCGGAAATGGGCGCCTAAGAGCTGCACTCCAAAAACCACTATATATTTTGGGGACACGCGGTACTTCTTTCCAGCTTAAGAGGACTGAACAGAAGGTTTCCCGATAGTCGCTGTCGGGATGGGAAAGGCAGAGAGGTCATGCGGCAGCTCTTAGCTGCCGCATGACCTTCAGCGGCAGCTTTCTCGTTTCGATAGCACTTCGGCGTTTCGGGGGCTTCGAGCGTGCACTCGCCGCCAAAGCACGACAGAAGGCCAACATCTATGTAGAAATTAGTGTGCAAGATATCTCTGGAGAGAAATGTTCCACGCGAAAAATATAGACATCGAATATCTCGATTGCCTAAGGCAGGCACGACTCTAAATCCTTGCAGCTCTGGTTAGGTTCGCGCGGTTATCTATATGAGCATTCATTATTTCACTCCACATAAGGAAATTGATAAACCTGTTGAAGCAGGTATTTGCCTAAATTTCGCCGATCAGTTCGCTTTTTTTTTTTTTTTGCTTTTTTTCTTTTAACAACGTAGAATGTAATACACTCCTCTTTTACACGAGCGATTAAGTTGTCCCAATTTGCACTTCTTTTCAATTGAAGTGGGTCATGCAAGACATGGAGGTAAAAAATTCAAGAGGATTAAGGAGGTTTGCGTGATGAGAAAAATAGCACAAACTCCCATTATGAGTCTCATGACCTATCTTTTTTATGGCCTGTTCTTCGTTCTACCTATTTAACCCTAACGTAATTTACGAAAACACAGCGAGGGCGCAGCCGAGTTGGTGTAAGTTTACCATTCAGTTAAAATACCTGTGACGTGATGTTTTTTGCTTTCTGTTTGTTCTGTGGGTTGCTGATGACCTTGGTTTCAATGTGTATATTAAAAGTTTACTGAATAAACTTATTAGCTGATTTTGAGACGTCGTCTGAATGACTTCTTTCCCGTCTCTTCTACTTTTGGTTTTTCAAGATTTCTCCCCAAGTCGCAGGTCTTTTAACAAAATGTTATTTTATGAATTTCGTAGGTAGCATGTTTCAGCCTAAATAAACAAAATAAACCAGGAAAACAACGTAATTCTCCATGGAGATCTTCCCTACCAGGCCCTTTAGAGTATCTTATGCAATTCTAGGCATAGCGGTTCTTTTTCACATAAAGACGACGCTAAGCGGCGAAAGATGCACCTCCTCTTCCTCCTCCGCAACTCGTCTCAGTCGCATTGGAGGCAGAAGAGGTGGCGCAACTCCCCTTCCCGACACAAGCCGTAGTTTGGGCTTTCGTTGCTACGAGAAAAGGGCCTCTGCGTGCTGACGACAACGTTCTTCAAAAACATTGGGAGCTACCATTATCTTTAAGTCCTATAATGCTTGACATGCAGTATTGAAGGAGCCATCGATTTACCTTGTTAAGAAGACATTAAAAAATCGTTTCAGGGAGTGAAGGCCTTATATATCTTATAAAATTTACATTAATATTCAGCGGGAAAATAGACTTGGGGGCATAGGTAACATAACGTGTTTTCTTTTTTTGTGCCGCTACCTTTAACAAGGAACTTAAATTGTTGTATATAGGTCTCGTGATGTCAGGTCACATGACGTCAATTTCCCCGCTAATTGTGGCGGAAATTCACGAACAGACGGACGGGCAATATTCTGGGATTTGGGGATTAGTTAAAAAGCGTTTTATTGTTTATTTTATATATTTATTTTATTTCAATACCCTTATGACCCATAGGGCATTACAGAAGGGGAGGGTTTGCACAATCACACTTAACAACTACCACAGCGAGAATAAAAATAAAGTAAGGAATTTTCTTAGAAAAGAATGAGTCCACCGTGTTATCAAAGGTGTTGAGTGAACGCTTTTTTTTTTAAATAGTTGAATTCATTTTATGTTTACCGGAGGTATTGGTAGGCTGTTCAGATCAGATGAAGTTTTTAGTATAAAGGAGTGGTCTATTCTGACATTTGACAATTATATATGTCGACTTTATTATTATGGTCCACTCGTGCAAGAATGTATGAGGGGGTAAGGAATAATTAAGATTTTTGTGGAACGTTAGAATTTCGAATTTTGTAGAAAATTCGCGAACGAAATATTTTACGACGAAAGAAAAGGAGTGAGAAGGAATAAAGTGGCTTTTATAGACAAGACCCTAGCGATGCAGTGATAGTTACGACATATAAAAATTGCGCCGCGATTTTGCTGAGTTTACAGGTCAGTCCCCAGTATCGTGTGGCCGGGGTGCTAGATTGATGGTGCATATTCAAGCTGTGATCGAACTAGAGTTTAATGTGGAAGTCGTTTTAATGACATTGATGCTGAGGTAAAATTTCAAATACTCAAGCAAATTTCACTGAGATCCGACGCGAGTCCCAAAGTGTGCTGAATGCATCTCACCAGGATCCCAAGTCGTAAAGGCAAGGGATTTTTCCACCTCCATTGTTTTTAGTCAGGGTGAATTTGAGCGACGGGGAATCGTTGAGGTCTCGAGTTAATTGACCCACATAGCTAATTACCATCGTTTTTCCGACCTCCGCGTCGGTGATGGTGACGTCATCGATGACCACGACGTGTGTCGCTGTAACATGACAATGTAGAATGCACTCGTCAAGATAATATTTGTCGTAAAGTTGTATGCCATAAGATGTAATAATATTTTAACACAAGAAACCACCCCTCTTTTGAGGGGTGGGGTGAGGTGCCGGGGGGGGGGGGGGGGCAACTAAACTCTACCTCTGCAAATATCTTCCCTCCCAATGAAAAGGCAATAATAGCACCGCCGCTGAAAATATTCATGATATGTGAGAATTAAAGCATAGTATCATAAAAAAGGAAACACAGAAGCAAACTGTCTGTAGTCAAGCTCACGCTATACAGTCAAGCTTCAAATGAAGGATTGAGAAATTGACCCGGTAACAAGGAAATGAAAATAACGCCCCCTCCCCCCACGCAACACAGACCTACTGGCATTTGAGAGTTACGATTCAGATCTGTTCTTTCGGCTGCATTAGTGGCTGCCGTGAGGTAAACATTAAATGACATTGTTGCAGTGGAAAAAAAAAAAAACTTCTGAATTGTTATTTTTGAGAATGAACGTGTGCATGATCTTGCCATACGAGTTGAAAATATTCCTTTTATATATCTTTATTGCTAAAAGTTCACTATACTTAGTTTCACCATAAGTGCAAGCGTAGTCGACACTACGACCCGAGAGAATCGATCAAGAAGCACAGAAAGTGCAGTGTCACGGCTTTCGTAATATCTTTGTACAATGCGTGTTATGGTCCAATAAACGAATCAAGCACAGTGAATGTGCTCAGACATTGCGCATCTGGTGTGCGTGTTCGTGTCTGCATGTTTCCCAGCCCTTGACAACGCTCAGACTTATGTTGAAACAATGATTAAAGGTCCACTTTTGTTGATGCCGCATCGGTAGCTCGGAGCAAAGCGCCGGCCTACAGGTCCCCAGGTGGCGCGTTCGAATTTCGGCCGTCGTGCCCGCAATCTGACGGTGGCTTACCGCGCAGAATTCGCCATGCAACCTAGATTTCGGTTGCATGTCAAAAGATCTCCAGGATGTCCAACTTAATCCTCAGCCCTCCACTGGGGCTTGCTAAATGCCCTTCGCTAGTTTGGAACGCAACCCCCCCCCCCCCCCCCCAAATTTATTTGAATTTTTGTTGGGTGACATGCAAATATTATTTAGCATCGCGACATCAATCTTTGCGCACTATACAAAGCCTAAGGGGTAAAAAGAGCGACTGCAATACTTGCCCGAACAAGACGTAATATTTGGTGTCTGCGTTGAAGCGATGCCCGTTGATACGATGCTGAACAGTATGGCGGCAGTAAAAGGGAACATTTTGCTTTGACTAGCTGTAGCTATCTCTAGCTAACTCCGCCTAAACGTGATGCAGTGTTTCTGCTTATATTACACTGACAGGTTTTCAATTATCCCACGGGACACAGCATTCAGGCACGTGCGCCCTGGATACTATATATGTATATGAAGGTCGTTAATCCTCCAAAATTAGCTGTTGGCTTCTCCGCAGTAGTACCTGCTCCAGATAACTAGCATGGTCGCTGCATGAACATCGAAAAACATCCAATCTTCTATTTTAAAGAGAATTTTTTTTTTTTTATTGTTGGCCCCAAAAAGCTTTCCCGAGGTCAAACTGTTAAATGGAAAGCTATATTTAACAATGAAGGCGAGCTTTCGAAACCATGCGAGCAGGGTTTGCCGGTTTTGCCGACTATTATTTCGTTTGATCGGTGATAAAAAGAAAACAGGGAACAGGTTGAGTGTTTGGAATATGTATCTTTGTTTCGTTGAAGTTAGAATAAACCTGAGTTCGCTTTGTAAACCCACCGACGAGTTCATATTAATATCAATAGCAATTATGATTTCCAATGTTTTTTTTTCTGTGATATGCCCTTTTCGTTCTGTTGGTAGTTTCCTGCCAGTTACACCCAACCACCTTTTCTTGATTGCGAGCACCCGGAATAAGCCATTTTATGCCATAGTGGGTAATAGACGCAAACGATACTACAAGAACGAAGTGCTGTTTGTGCTCTTGTTGCTGTCGCTGAGTGGCGACGTAAAAACTAATCCTGATCCTGCAACCAAGGAATAAATAGAACTCCTACAATCTATGTTCACTGAACTGCAAAACGGTCAAAAAAGTGTCCTCACCAAGTTAAAGAATATTGAAAGCGAACAAACGGAAATTCACAACAAAATATAGAATTTAATTGCAAAGAACGAGCAATCTGAACAACGGATCTCAGATGTTGGAGAAAATAAAATAAAGCTGGAAGCAAGACTAGACGACCTTAAAAATCGGAGCCGCAGAACTAACTTGGTGTATTTTTTGGCACTCCTGATGACAAAATGTGGTAGTCATGGGAGGAGTCGGAAACACTTGTTAGGCGCATTTGTAAATGTAATCTAGGTGTTGATGTCACCTGAACACAGAGGGCCCACCGTTCAGGTACTTTCAAGGAACATAGCTGCCTGCCGATTATAGCAAGCTTTCAAAATTGAAATGACGAGACAACCATTATGCTCAACGCCTTTAAATTCATAAAGTCTGCTTACAGCGTTTCCGAGAATTTCAGGGCACTCGTCAGAGAAAAAAACCGCAAGCTACGTGTCTATATTCCAAAGAAAAAAGAAAAGATAAGAACAAGAAAGCACATCTTACCTGCGACAAGCTTGTAATCAACCGAAACACGTACGCCTTGAATTTTGAGCAGAACATGTCTGTACTCGTTGGTAAAAAGGCTGCACCGATGCAGCAGGATTGACGCAGTGCGAGAAATATCTTTACAAATGCCGCTTTATCAGACGTAAATGCCTCAGCATTACTTGTGAACTTTCGTAGCATATAAGATAAAGTGGACGATTTCTTATCTCTAGTCGAGACAATCAAACTAAAAGTTATTATGGGACACAGACATGGCTACATGACTCGGTTGGTAATTCCAAATTTTTCCCCCCTGGTTTTACCGAATACCGCAGACAGAAATGAATACAGAGGTGGCGTGTGTTTGCTACGGACTGGAGTAGCAGTGAACTATTTTTTTTTTCAGGAAACAACGCCGAGTCTGAATGGTGTCGTGTAGTTTTACGTAAGGGGACAACTTTAGTTTTTGGGACATTTTATCGCCCCCCAGAGAGAGAGTCGTACTCTATAGACAAACTAGGCGACTTGTTGACTACTATTCCAGATAGCGTATTTTTGGGAGGAGACTTCAATCAGTCAGGATTCAATTGGTCTGATGAAGTTCTTGCTAGAAATGAGCCCCGCGCTTACTCAATGTTTGCTGACATAATTTGTGTATTTGGATTTGTACAATATGGTTAAAAACCCGACACGAGCGAATGCTGTCTTGGATTTGATTCTATGCAATTTTCGTGGTGTTGTATTCGGAACCCGGAACGCGAAAGCAAGCGGACTGTTCACGGAAATTATTTCTGTAAGACAAAGGTAACTACGACGTGATCGATGAGATCTTGAATCCTATTTTTATACGTTCAGTCGTCAATCAAAAAATAGTGACGTCAAAACTAAATGGCATGCATTTAGAAATAAAGTACTAGAGCTTGTGGATATGTGTGTTCCATCGAAACAAATCAATACGCTTAAACAAAATAAACCTTGGTTTAATGTAGACATTTGCAGACTTATAGGTAAAACGAGAGGTGCTTACAAAAAGCTTTCCAAAAGTTGGTCAGTTCAAACTGAGCGAAAGTACAAAGAAATCAATAAGCTTCTCGAATTGCAAATTAAACTAAACAAACTAAAAAAGTGTTTTTTTGACAAGTTTAACGAAAATCTAAAAAGAAACCCTGAGGAATTCGGGAAGCTTGTTAACGCGAACAGAAAGGAAGACACTTCTATTCCTGCGTTGACAGTTGATGGCGGTCTGATAGTGCGAAGGTTGAATGTTTTGATTCGTATTTTAAGTCCGTTTGTCAAGAGTCTACGCATCTGGTATCTCCAGTGGCTTACCATACAGAGCAAAGCGTAATGCCCAGCATTTCAGTTGACGTGAACGGTATCATGAAGTTGCTGCGCGGAACTGACGCAACCAAAGCCTTTGGACCTGATGGCATTTCCCCGGTTATTTTATTAAGTGCAATGACTCCACAGCGCGTTATCTTTTTGTTATATTCATTATCGTGTATGCCGATGATCTCACCCTCCTTCAACCGATTCAATCTCAAAAAGACTATAATCAACTGCAACAAGGCCTTGATCACATCCAAGTCTGGAAGATCAGAAACAATTTACCCCTGAGTGCATCAAAATCTGCCTCCAATTCACTTCACCACAAAAAAGAAAGCACAGAATCCACCAGTAATTTTAACTGTTAATGGAACTCCATTGGAACGAAAGAAGAGCATAACCAGCTGCTGGGTGTCACCCTTGACAGCTAATTGAGCTTCACTGCACACGTCCACTCCGTCGCCTCACGCGCACGGCGGATGCTGGGATTCGTGCAAACTAGGGATGTCGCGAACCACCCCAGGTTCGATTTCAAAAGGTTTCGATATTTGCAAAGCGAACTGAGGTTCGATTTCGAAAAATTTCGATATTTTCGTGCCGACTGAGGTTCGAATTAAAAAAATTCGCAACTTTCGATCACAGTGGAGTTTCGAATTCGAAAAGTTCGAAGCTTTCACGGTTTTTAAAATTTCGGATTCGAATATTTCGAATATTTTTTTACTTCAGGTTCGATAAATTCGAAGATTTCGAAATTTTTTGGAAATAAAATTCGAAAACTTCGAACGCTTCGAATTTTTATGGACATGAAGTTCGAACAATTCGAATATTTCGAATTTCTTTCCGCATAAAGTTCAAAAAGTTCGAAGGTTTCGATTCTCTTTTAACGCTAAATTTGAAAAAAAAAAAAAAAAACTTCGAAGATTTTGAATTTTTTTCTAGTCCAAGTTTTTCAAAGTTCGAAGTCCGATTTTCAAGTTCGTCCACAGTTTGTTTCAAATAACGTTTTCACGTCTCACTGGTTTTCACAAACTCAAGTTTAGAAAAGTTAGGGTGTGATATCTAGATTCTGCGAAGTTGGTCAGGCAATTAAATAAGACGACGAGGGTCCCGGATGTGCTGCAATATTTGCCAGTGCAGAGTGACGTGTGACCATAGATCAGTAATTGTGACCGCCAGCCCAAAGGGGGGGGGGGAGGGGTCTTTAACCTGCATCACGCAGTAGTGGTCACACGAACACCCTGTTTTACGAGAGTCATCCAGTTCGAAACGGCCAGGGGCGAGCAGAAGGTTGAGGCTCAGAAAAACCTTGAAGCGACCTGGCAAACTACCTCGTCACCCCTCGCACGCTAGTAGTAATCCGATCGAATGCCGCCCGAGTGACGCTGGCATATATTAAATTAAGTTTGTAATTGTCCTGGAGATTTATTTTCTGGGACGGAGGAATCGCCTCGCAAAAAGCCGACACAACTCGAGGTCGAGGAGCGTTCTACCATACAAGTGGCGTCGGAAGAGGAAAAACGGGGGGATAGAGGGTAGCGGGGGGCTTCAGTTTCCCCCCCCCCCCTTGCAGATATTTCGGACTGTTAAAGAAAACAATACGGGGAAAGAGGGCGTGGTCGAGCTCGTTTTAATCTGAAATTATTTATGCATATGTATAGCTACTGTCGCTCTTCACTGCATAAAAGATTGCGTAGATGGTCATTGTTAGAAACTCGTTGTCAGAAGGCACTACTCGTCACATGCTTAGTGGTTCGGAAGTTCAAAGCTATGTCTTTTCAACCTAAATACCTGTGCCAATAGTGAAAAAAAAAGAATAAATGCGGAAATAAAAAGCTGGAGAAAAAAAAAACTATAAAGAATTTCCCGGAAGTATTGTATTCTTGCATATTTAGAGAGAGGTTCAGAACTTCGAAAGAAGTTTCTTTTACCAAAATGCGTACAGGCTAAAAGAAACACGTCCCAGGAACGTGAAGCGAAAAAAAAATGTTTTCTTTTAATGACGTGCTGAACTTGAACACCATTAGAAATCTTCTCCCATGAGTTAATTTATTCCTTAACGTGGAAAAAACAATAAATACATTATTTTGTATTCTGCAGATGGCAATGATATGTACTGTCTGTGGTGTTAATTTAAATGCGATACCTCAAACAACTTAGACGAAAATAAATATCATGTTTAGGGCATAATTGCATGTAGATACATGTTTGGACATTTCTTCGAAACTCACGTTGAATAACAATAATCACATCTTAAGACGGCACTTACCTAGGCTATACATAGATCATTCTTAAGAAAGTATAACACCTCTACCATAAATAGCTTCGGCTACAGCGCGCTTCAAATCTGGCA